TGTTCTGGTGGATGAGGCTGCATCTTGTCTTTCTGGTGGGCAGGTCCACATCTGGTGCTGTGTTTTGGGGTGTCTGTGGCCTTATTATGATTTTAGGCATCCTGTCTGCTAATGGATGGGGTTGTGTTCCTGTCTTGCTAGTTGTTTGGCATAGGGTGTCCAGCACTGTAGGTTGCTGGTCGTTGAGTGGAGCTGGGTCATGGTGTTGAGATGTAGATCTCTGGGAGATTTTCGCCGTTTGATATTACGTGGAGCTGGGAGGTCTCTTTTGGACCCGTGTCCTGAACTTGGCTCTCCCACCTCAGAGGCACAGCCCTGGTGCCTATCAGGAGCACCAAGAGCCTGTCATCCACACGGCTCAGAATAAAAGGGAGAAAAAAAGAAAGAAAGAAAGAAGAAGATAAAATAAAATAAAATAAAATATTAAGATAAAAAATAAAAAATAATTATTAAAAAAATTTTAAGTATTAAAAAAGGAAAGAAAGAAAGAAGACAGCAACCAAATCAGAAAAGAAATCCACGAATGATAACAAGTGCTAAAAACTATACTAAAAAAAGAAAAAAAACTGGACAGACAGAACCCTAGGAAAAATGGTAAAAGAAAGATGTACAGACAAAATCACACACAGAAACATACACATGCACACTCACAAAAAGAGAAACAGGGAAAAAAAAAAAATATCGTGGCTCCCGAAGTCCACCACCTCAATTTGGGATGATTCGTTGTCTATTCATGTATTCCACAGATGCCGCATACATCAAGTTGATTGTGGATATTTAATCCGCTGCTCCTGAGGCAGCTGGGAGAGACTTCCCTTTCTCTTCTTTGTTCGCACAGCTCCTAGGGTTCGGCTTTGGATTTGGATACACCTATGCGTGTAGGTCGCCGGAGGGCGTCTGTTCTTCTCTCAGACAGGACGGGGTTAAAGGAGCCGCTGATTCGGGGGCTCTGGCTCACTCAGGCCGGGGGAGGGAGGGGCACGGAGTGCGGGGCGGGCCTGCGGCGGCAGAGGCCGGTGTGACGTTGCAGCAGCCTGAGGCGCACTGTGCGTCCTCCCGGGGAAGTTGTCCCTGGATCACGGGACCCTGGCAGTGGCGGGCTGCACAGGCTCCCGAGAGGGGAGGTGTGGAGAGTGACCTGTCCTTGCTCACAGGCTTCTTGGTGGCGGCAGCAGCAGCCTTAGCGTGTCATGTCCGTCCCTGGGGTCCGCGCTGCTAGCCACGGCTCGCGCCCGTCCCTGGAGCTCATTTAGGCGGCGCTCTTAATCCCCTCTCCTCGTGCACCGTGAAACAAAGAGGGAAGAAAAAGTCTCTTGCCTCTTTGGCAGCTCCAGACCTTTTCCTGGACTCCCTCCCGGCTAGCCGTGGCGCACTAGCCCCCTTCCGGCTGTGTTCACACAGCCAACCCCAGTCCTCTCCCTGGGATCCGACCTCCGAAGCCCGAGCCTCAGCTCCCAGCCCCGCCCGCCCCGGCGGGTGAGCAGAGAAGCCTCTCGGGCTGGTGAGCGCCGGTCGGCACCGATCCTCTGTGCGGGAATCTCCCCGCTCTGCCCTCCGCGCCCCTGTTGCTGTGCTGTCCTCCGCGGCTGCGAAGCTCCCCCTCCGCCACCCGCAGTCTCCGCCCGCGAAGGGGCTTCCGAGTGTGTGGAGACCTTTCTTCCTTCACAGCTCCCTCCCTGAGGTGCACATCCTCTCCCTATTCTTTTGTCTCTGTTTTTTCTTTTTTCTTTTGCCCTACCCAGGTACGTGGGGGGTTTCTTGCCTTTTGGGAGGTCTGAGGTCTTCTGCCAGCGTTCAGTAGGTGTTCTCTAGGAGCTGTTCCACGTGTAGATGTATTTCTGGTGTATTTGTGGGGAGGAAGGTGATCTCCACATCTTACTCTTCCGCCATCTTGAAGGTCCTCCGCACAAGACTCTTAGATAGCCTCATCTTCCAAAGGGCAGACACAGAAGCAAGGACAACTACTGTTGTGCAGAGTGTGCCTGGGGAGAAATTCCAATGGCAGATATTGGTGACATATCCTCTTCTTTAGCAGGTGGCAGCCTGGCAACTTGTAGCTGTAGGTAGGCGGCCTCAGTTCCTTCCCACATGGATCTCTCCTTAGGGCTGCTTGAGTGTCCTCATGACATGGCAGCTGGCTTAACCCAGGATGAGTGACCTTGGGATAGCTGGTTTTCCTTAGTTAACAATCATCTTTTGATGTTCCCCATTACCTGCGCCAGTCCCCTCCCCTGTCCCGTCCCCCCTGGTACTTTAGCTCAGGGAGGAAGGAGCTCAGAGGGACTTGGCTGAATAAGGGGCTTGAGAGCCTAGGGATGAGTTTTAAGCCACTTTTCCCACAGTCAGGAGGAGGGATGCTGACGCTCCAGCCGGACCCTGTGCCTCCCTTTCGCAGTTTCCCCTCAGGACGCTCAGGTCCACCCCGATTAGGTTCATTTTTATTTCCATTACTTAGGTATGACCAGTGCATCTCTTTTATCCTAGATTTTCTATAATTTTCCTTTTTTTCTCTAAATGAACTGGTGGAGTTGATTTTGGAGAGAATATGGAATTAAACTTTGTAATTTCCATTTGCTCCCTCTACTCCCTGCAACTCTGCTTCTATCCCAGGCAGTCTTTTATTAATGTTTCCAGTTTTCCCATCCATTTACTAAAGCTTAGCAACTGTCCCAAGTTTTTAAGGTTTCTCGTAGCTTTCTGGGTAAATTTTAAATTCTTTAGCTTAATCGTTTATTATCTACATACTTCTCAAATTTCCATCATTTTCCTCTTCAGACATTCTGAATTATTTGTACTTCCTTAGAACACATTACTCTGCTTTCTGGCTCTTCCTTTGCTATATGCTAGTCTTCCTGCTTTTTCTAGCTGTAACTTGTGTCAGTTTTCCCTTTTCATAAAGCCTGGTGTACATCTGCTTCTAAGCCATCCACTTGGCTCTCAGAGTTTCTTCCATCTTCCAGCTGCTCCCAGTGGAACACCATGACCTTTACTAGTGGTCTTTATATGGAGCTCTGGGGCACAGGCCCATTGATAAACTACTGCTGCCACAACTTGGCTATCAGTAGAGATGTGGTTGGAGCAAGCTACAATTCCCTTATTTCCCCATTCCTTTATTTCTCACAGTACCACCACAGGTATGGCTGGATCAGACTTCAGAGAATAGTTGGAGTAAATAAAGGAAATTAAAGTATAGCAGAGAAACATTTAAAACCAAGACTAAATCCAATTTCCCTCCTGCCCAAGGGAAAGCATTCAAGAAGTTGAATCCATCAGAGAGTGGCCTCTTGTATACTTCCTTTACTCATTTGTATTCAGGACTGTAATTCCAAGTGCCTCCTTCTACTCACCGTGCACCTTTGGGAACCTCATCCCCTAGCCTCAGGACTGGTTTTGGTCCGGGGGTTACTTTCCTCAGCCATGTGTTTCGACAAGTTTGAATCCTTTTGGCTACTTCCTGTCAACATTGTCCACGGTAGGCTTTGACACCCAAATCTTGCCAAGTAGTTAAGAGTTTGTATGATTTTCTCTAAGTCTGAACACCTTTGAAGTCTTCCTGCCAATGTAAATTTTGGAAATGCCTTTGATTGTTCCAGTTGTTCGTGGATAACTCTTGAATCAGACGCTCACTGTAAACCTTTCCCAAGGACCACTGTTAAATTTCAGACGGAGTGTGACCTGAACCAATAATACAAAGAGAAATATTTTCCTTCATGCCCCCAAAAGGATTCTCTCATAATGAAGATGCTACTTCACTTTATATAGAGCATGATTTTTCTCTGTCTCTGACTGACCCCCTTATTCAAATTGAACTCCCTTGGCCTGTTTTAAAAAGAACGAAGTCCATGGACAAGCCAGGGCAGCTTATTTGGTTAAGTAAAGATTCAGCTAAAGCTGTTAAATCACCATGGACTAGATTGGATTAAATTTTATTATAAGGGTAGCTATTGGCTAGCCTCCTTGTTGGTGGAGTTGAGTTTTTTTTGTTGTTGTTCTTTCTATTACACATCTCACTCCCACTTGTCCTTTGCCGTATTCCTCCAAAAGCTGGTCAACGTCATTTGGTATAAACATCCTTTTGTGCATCTCTGGCAATCTAGCATAGCTCCATCACAGCATTATACCACAATCATTGATTTATTTGTCTGTTTTCTTAGCATGTGGAACTTAGTGAGCAATCAGTAAATGTTTATTGAATGATAAATGCATCATTAAAAGAAATTGGCATCTGTTATCTTCTAAATTTACTCTATTTCAACAATTCCTTAATGATTAGGTATAAGATTTCATGGAGAGCTAGTTTATTTTCTAGTGATTAAAACCCAGTGCCTGCAGTTAAAATTTCTGTGTGTTGCATATTAAGTTTTGAATTATAAGTACCTTGATCAGGAAAAAAGGACCAGAGAGCTGCTGAGGCCCAGCCCACAGTTAGTATTTACTCCCAGCACTGGAGCTGTACTTTGTACAGCCTTCTGCCTTCGGGAGGCAGAAACTGAAATAAGAGAGTATGCTCTGAGAATCAGTCCCCTCTCATCTAGTAAATGGCAGATAGTCAGGTGCTGTGTATTGTATTATTTATTTAACCCTTTGCTATTTTGACAAAAAGTTAAGTCTTTTTACATATAGAAAAGCCTCTAATGCTGGTGTGATTTCTGTTTAAAAGTAGGAAATACATGTTACTGAGGAATGGAAGAGAAGAAATTTTCTTTTTCTGAATATGTGTATTTATGCATAAGTATACAGGAAATTTACAAAGTATTTTTAAATGTATGTGCTCTACTTTGTGTAAAGCTTCCATATAAGGGATTTAAAAATTACTGTGCACATTTAGATCTAAGCTGTTTGGCCCACTGTTGCTCTATCATATGTATTTTTTGGATATTTTAGAACATGGATCTTTTGAAGAAAAAGAAATAGTTGTCAGCAAAAGTTTTCTTTTTTAAAAGAGGAGTTAATAAAATGCCTGTTTCATGATCAAATATATTATTTGACTTTTCTTATAGAAATTTCAAGAAATTGCTGAAAAAAATATGGAAAAGTTGAACCATATTGAGAAGTCACATGAACAACTGGTTGTTGAAAACACACATTTCAAAAACTTGTTATCACAGACTAAAAGGGAACAAACATCCTTGCTGGCGGCCTGCGCATTGATGGCTGGTGCCTTATATCCTCTGTATAGCCGATCATCTGCCTTATCCACACAGAGAGATTTTCTTCAGGAGCAGGTCAACACCTTTGAGTTGTTAAAATTGGAAGTTAGAACTCTAGCCCAGGCTTTGTCAATTGTAGAGGAAAAGAAGCAAGAGGAAGCCAAGATGAAGAAAAAAGCATTCAAAGGATTAATACGTGTATTCCGGAAAGGTGTTATTGCAATTTTGGCAGCAAACAGACTCAAGATTTTGGGCCAGTCGTGTGCCTCTCTTTTTACCTGGATGGAGAGTTTCAAAGAAGGCATAGGCATGTTAGTGTGTACAGGAGAGCCCAAAGACAAGCATAAATTTCCAAGTAAGATAATTTGTGCTTTTAAAATCTGAGTCGAATGTAAGTGGCATACGAAGTGAATATGTTGGGCAAAAACATAAAAAAATCATTTACAATGTCAAATCATGTAACATATCTACATACATATGTAGATATGTATGTGTATGAATAAGTGTGTATTTATAAATTAGGCTTTAATTTTTTGTTATAAACATTAAAATATAAAGAAAGTAGCAAATATATATGATTTCAACTTTGTCTAGCTTTATTATATTTTAATGCTCTTTTGACAGTAAATTGAAAAGTTTGTACAGCGATTTTTCAATAAAGTCAATCCAGAAACTCTGCCCTATTTAAAATTAATTAGCATAATTTACTTTAACTTCCTTTGAATTAGTATAAAATGATCAGAGTTAAAAATCTGTTGAAGAATTGAATGAAAATGAAACTAATGTAAGTTTTATAGCTAACTTTTTTGAATGCTTGACTATTCTGAGGAAACAATTATTTCAGTTTTTAACTTTTCAAAAGCAAGCTATTAAGTAAGTAGAGCTAAAGAAAATTTCCTTCTTCCTTTTCTTTTATGATGTCAGTTACCATTATCTATAGAGAGGAGTTAATAAAATGCCTGTTTGTTTCATGATCACATACATTATTTGACTTCTCTTCTTATATGGAAAAATGGAACCATAAATAAAGTCAATAAAATCTCACATCTATTGTAGACTTCTCTGCACTAGGTGAAGTTCTACGTACAAATTTTGATCTACTTCTTAAATAGCTAAATATTGCCATAATTTTGTAATGGATTTTAATAAATTTTCATAGAATTGCATAATGGATTTTTTTCTGTTTTTGCAGAACCTCAAAAGGAGCAGTTACGTTGTTTGCAAGCTCTCAGTTGGCTCACCAGTCCTGACCTTCTTGCTGCAATAATAAGTTCTATGGCTGAGTTACAGGAAGCTATTAGTAAAACAGGTATGATTCCCCTTTTTATGTCCTTGCAAAATACATTCAAAAAGAAAATGTCCAGAAATTCTTTATGGTACAAATTCTAATAAACCTTCAAGGAAGAAAATGTATTTGTTTTTATCTTTCTTTTATTCAGGTACAGAGAGATTACTAAATCTATATTTAATGAAGTAGTGAATTAGTGTAATTTTTGATGTTAATTTTGTCTTTATGGGGAAATTAAATGACACTTCTTGGTGAATACATTCACCTTATTTTTCCTTTGTGATATGCTTTTCCTATGGAAAACTCATCATTAGCTTTTTTATTAAGTACTACTGGTAATATTCTTTCAAAGGTTTTAATCTTTCTTCTGTTTCTGGCCATGTGCTTTAGAAATCCAAATAATAACTGAATCAGTAGAAAATTGTTCTCTCTCATTTGGCAACATGTTTTTATTTTTTCTATTTAATTTTAAATAGAGTAAATTTAAATAGTCTGCTCCTTTCTACTAGGTGTGAAGCCACCTATAACCAGTGATTTCCAAAGGTCTAAAATGCAAGTTTATTTTTTCATGACTCAGATTGCGTGGCATGTTTGAGTGAAAGGTTCAATGAAAACTAATTTCTCCACACTTAAAGAGTAACACAGTTACCTACTGCTTAAGCTATGTCATTGGGCTAATTATGGTCGTTTCAGAACCATTAATAGAAAAAAATGTATAGTAGACTTGTTAATACTTGCCTGCGTAATGAAATAGTCTAAGTAATAAAGAAATGATAATTTGGGATGTAATTTAACTCTTCAGACAATTCTGTTGTGTAAATATAGATCATTTATTGTGATTTCAAACATGTAAACTAGGCTCTTATAGTACAAAACTTATGATCCAAAGATGATTTTTAGGTTGTGGCCATAAACGTTGGTAAGAAATATGCATATTTTAATGTATCGGCAAAATCTCAACATACTGGGTTTGGAGTCTGAAATAAAAGTGCAAATAAATATATTTTAAGAGTGTTGGTATTATAACTTCAAAGCAAAATTGTAACATTCTTGAAAGAACTTAATAAATTTTTGGGTTTAGTTTAATAAACAGATGATTTTTGTTAGTCATATTTTTTCAGGTATGTGGACCTAAAAGTAGATTGGTTTCTTAAGCTATAATCTTATGTATATTATTACTTTATTTAATGCACTTTTTAATCACTGTGCTATATGCTTGAGGAGATAAAAGAAAAAGATGTGACTTGATCGATCTTCTAGAAAATATACATAATGGTCATAAGAACAAGAGCGACAACTCATGAACAACTTAGGCAGAATGTAATCAAGGATTGGATGAGGAAGTACAGGCTTTAAATGTAAGAATACGCAGAAGGTAAAGCTCAATGTGGGCTTATGAGTATTGGGAAGGCTTCAGGGACTAGTGATTTAGTTGGGCCTAGAATGACAGTAAGTTAGAGAGGAGAGCTGGCATTCAGCTGCAGGGTATAGCTTAAGCATGAAAGTAGGCAGCGATTTCCCCTGAGCACATTTTCTAAAAGTAGCCCCTTGTAACATTTTTAAGTTAAAATGTTGACAAAATTTTTATTCAGACCCTGATAAAAATATGTGTAGGTAAGACCTGTGAAGTAGAAGGTAGACCAAGAGTGGTGTTTTAAGTGCTTGCCTATCTCTAGGAACATGCTGTCTTTGATGTTAGAACCTGGTATGCCTCTAGCTTGAGGAAATAGCAAGTTCAGGAAAACTTATTTTTAGGCAAGCCTTTAAATGTTGTTGGATAAAGAACACTACTTGAAGAAGAGAAAATGATTGTTGCTTAAAGGGGAAAATAATTGATGTATCAAAGTCCTGAAGAGTATTGGAAAGGATATGGTCCAGGCAGATAGATAATTGTTACTGAACTAGTACAAAAAATGATCAGTGTGGATCTTCTGCAGTCGTGGCTTGACTAGCTGGGCTTATAGAATAATCCTTTCAAAACCTGATGAAGGGTTAATGTATTGTTATCTAGGCAATTGTGTTTTCATTTTTAAGTGTATCCTAGTAGAAATTTTAGATATTTTAGCAGAAAAGGTGGGAAAATATTTTCAAAGTCTATGAGTGATTATCAACAGATAAGGGTAATAAATGTAAAGCCATAACAGTTTATACAGTCATGTTGAGTTTATAGTTTAAGTGTCTGAAAAATCTAAATAGGTAATCATTATTGTGTAGTAGAAAGAGCATTGTTTTGAACAGGGCAGACTTGATATTATATTCAGCATTGCTAGCTATTAGTTGTGTGAAATTGGGCAAGTTACTTAACTTTACTGGGCCTCACACTCTTTTCCCATAAATGAAGATGGTATTGTCTTCCCCACTGTTACGAGGAATTAATGAGATAATGCTTGTTGAATGTTTTGTACGGTATCTGGTACATAGTGGGTGCTGAAAAAAATTGTTGTTCCCTTACCACCCATCGCACCATGAAAGTAGCATTTAGCATTAATGAACATGAATACACACACGCCTACCTGTATACATTTTTAGACTACTAATGATTAATTTTCTGTTCTAAAATTGCTAAACTGCTGTACAGTGGAGGCAACATAGTGTAGGGTTAAGCAGGTATTCTGCCTGACTTTGAATACTGACTCTGATGCTAGCCACATGACATGGGCAAGTTATTTAAACTCTGTTTCCCAGTTTCTTTATTTGTAGAGTGGGAATAGTAAGTTTTACCTAGCTCAGAGTTTAGAGGACTAAATGAGTTAATTTGTAAAGTATTTAGAATGCCTTTGTTTACTCTTTCACTTACTTTTCTTAGTTCAGATATCAGTCTTTATTAAGATTTATTGCATTAACTGAATAATAATAAAGAAATTTCATAAAAATTTAGAGTAAATAAAATAAAAACACATTAGTTTATCTTAAAATTTCAAGACCATTTACACATCCCATACAGCTCCAACTTGTTAAAACATGGTTCTGTTATAAATTAGTATACGTATAAATATCAGGAAGAAATTTCTTCCTCTGAATATAATGACATTAGATGTTTGGGGGCATCACAGGTTTGCTTTCTTTGTACCTAATAGAAGACCCCCCACTTAGAGTAGCTTATTCATATAAGGTTTTTTTTTTCCTCCCAAATAGTAAGTCTGGAGGCAGATAGAAATCCAGACTGTGTCTTTCTGCTAAGCCATTAGAATCTTCGTGTTTATGCCTCCTAGTTTTAAGCTGGTCACTCTACTTTTAGGCATCAGGATTGTATTTGTGCAGGAAGGAGAAGGGAGGGACACAATGTGAAGACATTCATACATTGCTGGTGAGAATAAAAAATGATATAGCTGCTTTGGGAAAGAGGGGCATTTCCTCAAAATATTAAACATAGAGTTATCATTTGAACCAGCAATTCCCCTTCTAGGTATATATCCAAGAGAAATGAAAACATTTATGTACAAAGACTTGTGCATGAATGTTTACTGCAGCATAATGCATAGTCAAGAAATGGAAACAAACTCAAATGTCCATCAACTGATAAATGGGTAATGGACAGATATCCAAACAATAAAATATAATTGGGCCATAAAGAGTAATGAAGTACTGATGCTTGCTACAACATGGTTGAACCATGAAGGCAATGTGCTACATCACAAAAGATTGTATATAATATGATTCCATTTATTTGAAATCACATATCATATTATTCCGTTTATTTGAAATATGCAGATTAGGCAAATCTAGAGACAGAAAGTAAATTAGGGGCTGCCTAAGTCTGGGGAGGGGTTGGGGGTTATGGGAAGTGGCTGCTAATAGATAGGGAGTTTCTTCTGGGGGTGACTAAAATTTTATAAAATTGCTTGTGGTGATGGCTGCATAACTGTGATTATATTAAAAACCATGGATTTGTACACTTTAAATGGGTAAGTTATATTGTGTGTGAATTATATCTCAAGAAAATTGTTAAAAATATGAAGACATGTGTTTCTGAATATATCCCTTTATATCAGGAAGGCAAAAGCTTTCCCAAAAGCTTCCCCAGCAGACTTTTGCTGTTGTTTCATTGGCCTGGCCTGAGCTTGTTTCATTGGCCTGAGCTGAATCATTCACATGATTCTCCCTAGATGGCTACCTGGAGATTGACAAAAGAGACGGAAGAGTTTGTGGATGGAATGAATCAGCTAATCAACATCTGCAGTAGAGAGGATTGTTTTTGTTTGTTCTTTTCTTTCAAATTACCTCCACTTCTACTACCTCCATTATATAAGAAAACAGGTCAATTCAGAAAACTTGGAAAAGAAATAAATCAGAGAACAATAACAAAACAAAAACAAACGTATTTTCCCATCATATAGGGATAGTTAATGTAAGCATTTTTATGTGTTCTTATGTGTTCTTCCAATCTGTTTTATCCCTCTTTCTCTCTCTATTCATTCACCCTTCCTTCCTCCCTTCATGCCACCTACTCATCCATCCACTAGCAGACTAACAAATGATATAAATGATATCACAGGCTACATACTCTTTAATATCTTCATTTAAAAGTTATTCCGAAATACCCTCAAACTTAGGGAAAAGTTGCAAGTAGTTCACAACAGAGAATTCTGTTTCCTGAATGGTCTGAGAGCAGGTTGCTTACTTGATGCCCCATCACTCCCTCGTATTATAGCATGTATTTCAAAGACATTCTGCTGCGTAACCAGAGTGCAATGATCAACATCAGGAAACCAACATTGATATATTACTACCATTCAGACGCCATTCAACTTCCCCTATTTGTCCCAACCACATCATTTTTAGCAAGAGGATCTGGTTTAGAATTATGTGTTGCATTTAGTCATGTCTCTTTAGTCTTCTTCAGTATGGAAGAGTTCCTCAGTTTTTCCTTGACCATCGTGACTTTGAAGATTACAAGCCAGTTATTTGTAGAATATCCCTTAATTTTGATTTGTTTGTTTCTTCATGATCAGATTTAGCTTATGCATTTTCAGCAAGAATATCACAGAAGTGATGCTGTGCTTTGCTTATGATATACTATC